TAGTTCTGCTCGTCTAAGTTATCCAACTCATATCTGATGAGGTGTGAATGGATGCTTCTCAAAGGTGTCATGCCAAGACACATCTTTGTCGGACTTGAGGTCTTTACCACTGCGCCAAGGTTTGAACAGAGTTAGCATGGTAACACAGTATTCTTCTCAGTCTCCAGCATTACGACGTGGCAAAGAACCACCTACAAAGTTAGGTACCTTACTTTGTTCTTCTGCCAGCAGTCTTATTCGATGTGTTTCCTTCTGTGGGTGCTCGCTTATAAATTGTCCCAGTTTCATCAACTCTAATTCCAGTTCTTTTGCTTGCTGCTGTGCAGCCTTTTCTGCACTCTCTGTGGTAAGTAGTAACTCATCTTCCTCTTCTTCTTCTTCTTCTTCTTTAACCACTTCTGATACCTCTTTGATGGATGCCAGTGGATGACCTGCAGTTTTATGTGTTGACTCAAATGACTCATTGCCAGATTCTTCTTCCTGTCGCAGACCTATGTGTTGACTCAAATGACTCATTGCCAGATTCTTCTTCCTGTTGCAGACCTATAAAAGTCTCAAATGCGGTTTCATCAACATGATAGTCATTCTCAAAGCTATTATCTGCATCCGATGTTAGTTGTTCAATACTAGTATCCACTTGATCCTCACTCTGAAGATTTAATGGCTTGTCAAAGCTTTCATCATCATGAAGTAGCTCTTGTTCGAGGCTAGAACCCACTTTATCATTTATGGAAACCTCAGAGGACTTTGCATTACACAATTTTTTCTTGCCTTTGGGTAGGATATTCTTATAACTACGCCGAATCCAATCATATAATGTTATGTCATCATACTTTCTGGGCCAATAAATATAATCCAATACCTGTGAGAGGGCCACATATTGGCCTTTAACATTACCTAATACAACCTTGTCCTTTGACTGCCCTTCAGATAATACTGGGTTGGAGGGTAGCAACGAACCTGCAACATCAGATGTAAAGTGATCCCAAGCAGATAGAACCTCTCGTACGTAGCTCCTCCAATAACAGATATTGAAATCATGACTCATGTAATGATCATCATGATCGAGCAAATACAATGCCGCCATAGGTCCACCAATTTCAGAAGAGGCAGTTAGGCTATTCACAATTTTTGTTATAAGGACACGCGCATTTTGTCGTCGGTTCTGCGTACCTCCAAGCAACTCCGGATGCTGTTCAAATATCTTCCGAATGGCTGAGAACATCACATGTGTTTTGAGAGCAGTCTTAGTTACGTAGTCAGTCACATATGCAATTACGGACTTAATCGCCGTACCCGAGAGAAGACTGATAACATCTGAATTGCAATGCAATAGATATGTTAGAATTGGTGTTGCAGTATTAATCCAAGCTTCACCTTTCTTCATATTCAAAGCACCCATATTTGGGTCGACAGAAGTTTCTTTGAATGTTTCTCATGGAAAACGAGCTTTGCAAGTACCGTACTTTGGATTTGTACATCCCTTGTGACACATATGTCGATTGGAACGATATAGGAGCTCATCAACGGTATGTTTAAACTTTACTCACCATGTGTTCATGGCCTGACATGCAGAACAGTTATCAGGGTCTTTGCATGTACAGGGATTAGCTGGTCTCTCCGGTAAAGTTTCTGTAGGTGGTCTCCTATTGGAGTTGTCCTCCTTTAGTTTGTCGAGTCGCTGTCTAACATCTTCCATTGTTCCATTGAAGAACTCGCCAATATACACACTTTCCAAATACTCAACTATTGCATGCTGAAAGTCAGAGTTAGGATCCATTATACGATCACGAATCTCCTGCGGTGTTAATGCATTCATAATCCATAGTAACATGTGCATATATGCAAGGTCAATCTACCTTGTTGTTCAATGGTACCATAGTATCCTGACGTCTTACCATATAGACCAAGTCGATCTAGGCCAACACTGAGCACATGTTTTATGAATAACTCCACCGTCATTTAAAAAAATCGTGCACCTGCCACAGGATTATCAGCTATAAGCTTATAGCGCTCTTCATAAGAGCGAAACTCTGGAAAATAAGTCTGCTGAGTGTCTGCAAAATATAATGCAATAGGATGATTTAGATCAGCAGGTGCAAAGGTAATAAACCATGAAGGGGCACCGAGATAAGAAGTTAAAGCCCAAATTTCATTTCGCATAGCTTTCGGTTTGTCATTGAACCATGAACTTTATATCCAACATGGTCTAAGTCATTGATGATTTGAAAACAGGCCTTTTCTTCTTCTGTTTCGGCCTTGACATGACCTTTGGACAAACATTTGATTAGATCTTCAAGGGTTCTGTCACTTAGGTTCATAAGCCTTTCTGCAATACCATCAAACTTACGTTTGTCGGCCAAAAGATATCCAGCTGTCGTGCAATTCTTAATCTGCTCATGATTGAAGGCAATAAGTGGAAACAGAGGCTCCAGTTGGAATTGTTTATCGTGGTACATTAATAACTGCTGCTTATGTCAGTGTTCCGATATATGAGTCTTGCCATTAATATTGTCAAGGCCACCAAGACCATAGGGGAAAAGCCAAGGGAACATCATTGGATAAAGTTGTGGATTATGATAAAGGCTTTGAGGTGTTGCATCTTGTCCTATACCAAGTATCTTTCCTTTTTTGAAGTGTTCAATAACTGCTGCTTATGTCAGTGTTCCGATATATGAGTCTTGCCATTAATATTGTCAAGGCCACCAAGACCATAGGGGAAAAGCCAAGGGAACATCATTGGATAAAGTTGTGGATTATGATAAAGGCTTTGAGGTGTTGCATCTTGTCCTATACCAAGTATCTTTCCTTTTTTGAAGTGTTCAATTGCTCGTGCTCGCATCTCCAAAGGTTTCATGGTCATAAGGTTGATCATGGTCTCACCAGTGAGACCATGCACAACAAAAGGACACGGACCTTTGATAGTGCCATCATCTTTCTCAGTATCATTAACAGCAGAGGCCTCTGGTAATTTTGTGCCATCATATGACTGGTGATAATCTGCAATGACCAGTGGAACATCCTCTGGATACTCTGCAAGATTTTTCTTAGATATAACCAGGTCAGCATAGTCAACGTGATTTAACTTCAACCAATCAAGTGCCTTGGCTACCTTATTTTGATGCACAAGAAAAGGAGTTCTTGCATACTCTATGGGTGTAGGCTTTGAAGGACCTATATACAGGAAGGCAAGAACCTCATTGAGCTCTTCTCGACTTGGTGGTAGCACACTATATACCTGAGGCATTGGCACAGAATGACATACTGCATTAGCCTTCATTTTATGCATATGTGATGAAGCAACACGTACAACACAATAGTTGTGTTTTACTCTAGATATTAACATCTTCTCAGTCCACGACAAACCTTGAAGCTCCAGAGGAATATCACCGATCCAAAGGCCATTAGCAAGTGCGTCATCGGGTAGCTTTCCCTTTTATAACGATTTATAACAATTAAGGCACACTTGATTGTGATTGTTTAATATTACAGGTCCCGATCGAGCCTGGATATCATCCTTAACTCTTTTACGCTCTCGTCTGGTAATAAATAAGACCGTCTGCATCCATAAGTAGTGATAGATTTGACCTAACATTATAAAGTGGCCGCATCTCAGCCACTATGTGAAGTTGAGCACATACCGCACAAGCCTCTTCAATTAGTTTGGTTTTGGTGATATCATCACAATATCCTTGCATAAGTTGTATAAGAGCCATCAAAGAGAGTGGACACGGAGGAAAATCAAATGCATTTGTTAATTGATTTGAGAGAGGAGGATGCATTTTAGGCTTTTGTGCCCCTTCTGTAGTTTGCCTATGCCTTTGTTGACGTGCTACATCTGTCTGCGCTGGGGGAACACATTTAAATTGTGCTACAAAGTCTGGACAATGTTCACATGAATGGTTAGCAAATCATTTGCCCTGAGATGATTACCAGAAGGGACATGGATCACATGAAGCTTACAAATGGTCCGTAAAGCAGAGATCGGTAAGCGTCCAGTCAACTCGGTTAGTGGTATCTTTACAGTCAGTATATCATCACCTGATGTTTGTATAAGAGAAACTAGAGTATAATTCCAGTATATATATCGTACCGGTTCTTCCGTATAGTTACTGGCAACTGAAGTGTAAGGCTGAAGCTCTTCCACAGACCAGAATTTTGGTTTTTTAGAACGTGCACCACCTCCAATAAGATTTAGACAAGAATTATCAAACCTGCACTTCACTGTTAAATGCATAGACTCGCCAGTATTTAGCATCAAACCTCTCATACAAGATGGACTTTGACGAGAAGAGGTCAGCTTACGAGTAGATGCAATAAAGTCATGACATCGATATAGATGCCGTGCAAGCCTCATAGCCACATCACGGATGATGTATACAGAGTTTTTGTAGGGTATATAACCCAAATATTGCAGCATAAAACTTTCAGGGAGGGTGTTTAGCAATACCCTGCCGTCAGACGGCCCAGGACTTTCTGGAAGGGTGCCCGTCCATACCCTGAAATTCAACAATAGAGATACTCTCTGAAGAGTATCTGCCATAAGAGATTCAGATGATATACACATTGGATCCTGTAAATCGGACGGATACAAGTAGCGAGAGGTTAAATCCAGTGACGTGGCACATACCCGTGGACTTTTTGGTTGAATAATCTCATTCAATGAAGGATTTAATGCACCTAGTAGTTCAGTTAGCACAGCAGCTGCATGAAGCAAATGGAAAATTGCCCAGAAATGCATGACTGCAATGCTGATAGATCGTAAAGCTTGAAGGTGTCTTGGAGCAAGTCAACGACTGAGCTCTGAGTGAGACTGATTTACATTTATTCGGAGATCCAACTCATTTAAAGCCAGAGTACAAACTAAGCTGACACGATAGATTCATTAGCAAATATACCGGATATATCACAGATGCATCGTCACAATAATAATCAAGTATCACCATGTGATAGACTTGATATTCTGGTCTACTTTGAAGACACATAGTACGTTGCAGAAACTACAGTCGCGATACGATGATACAAATAGCGAGCAAATTCAAGGACAAAGACAACTTGGGATTGTCAGTCTTAGCTGCAGCCATCCATTTGACGGGGGAGTGAAGAACGCAAATGAACGAGCCAACCGGTACCTCCTTCTTCCACAAAGGACAAGTTGCACGAACCTTTGCCAAATCAAAGGACTCGTTGAGCTTTCGACTATCCTTACCCTGGAAGAACCTGGTACAATCGTATACTGCGACTGCATATCCATTAAGGCCCGTGTTTCATACGATTGATAAGGAACCACTCACTTTGGTCCCAATGATTGAGCGCAAGAGGTGTGATCGAATGCCCAGTAATGATATTGCCCGGTGTACGAGAACTACTGGCATGTCCACTTTGAGACTTGCCAAACTTTGCGCCCTTCAACACTGGCACGATGTAAGATAAAAGTGAAGGACATATCAAATGAAGGTATAAACTTACCTGCAAATAGTTCATCCTCATCGTCATCTTCACCATTACCAGCACCCATCTTTCCCCACTTTGTAGAGAACTCCATGCTTGCTTGCTTCCTCCCCGTAGGCATATAAAACCCATCCTGACCAATATTTGTAGCCATAAATGCGATGTACCGTTCCCACTCTTGGTTGAGAGGAAGGAGTCGGATGTACTTGTACCACTTCTCACTGTCAGGACGAGCCTCAGCCTCTGCAACTTTGCTCTGACCTGAAAACCCAAACATCAAGCAGATCTGACGAGTGCCCATCTGGCTGACAATGTCGCCAACAGGCCCAGGTTCAAAGAACTGAGGATCCCCTCGTGAAGGATTAAGAAACAGGCCATGCTTCATAGAAATGGTAACAAAGTTGCGGATAGCACTAAGCGATAATCATCAGTGCACGTTCAATTTAATATAAAGGAGATGCACCTCTTGTACGGTAAAAGCCTCTCATGTTGTTTATAAATGAAGCTGAGCGGAACAGTGTAAGATCGCCCTCATTGTAGACCAAGAAACTTGCTTTCCTGCGAGTTAGCATATGATAATACACACCAAGTTTTACATCAATATACCGCAGTGGAGGCAATCCTTCATAGGTTCCTTGTAAAGCACTATCAAGAAGCTCCAGAATAGTCACCTCGCATTTGAACTTGGGGGCAGGCGGAAGCAAGTAGTCCATGCTTCAATTGGTGTCAGTTGCATCGACATCACTATCAAAATAACAAGACGTACATAATATTACCATGTTTGTCCATTCCTTTGCTGGCGCTGTATGACCAAATTAGAAGGAAAGAGCTTAAACAAGATATACTGACGTACGCTCTTGATATCATCTGAAACTGGATCTACCACGGTGCTCTTAGACTCCTTGAATGTGCCTTTACCTTTCCCTTCTGATTCTCGTCACCATCCTCTACATCATCCTCATCCTTATCTTCTTCCTTGAATGCCCTTTGACCTTTTGCTCCGCCCTTACGTACCTTGAAATTGCCATCCTCATCCTCTTGATCATCAAGTGCTTTCAACGTCATCTTTCCTTTCCCTTTCACTTCAACCTTCCTCGCCTTCTTGTCATACATGTGCTCATCATCTTCCTCTGCCTCATTGTCCTCCAAAGTATCAGAATTATCCATACCATTGCTGTCATTCTCGTCATTCTTGGTACTATCAATCTCCATTGGAGAAATATCGCCCTCCAACTCTTCATCAGAGCTTACATACATTTGAAAATCGAGAAAATCAGCATTATAAATGTTCAATCACACATATAAGCTTACCTTTGTACTTTGATGGGTTTCTTCACCATGTACTGATTGACCTTCGTCCTGTTCATAAAAGGAATCAGTGTATTATCTCATTTAGAAAGATCCAGAATGTACTTTGAAGTCTGCAAGCTTGCATCGATCATAGCCATAAGTGCATGAAGCTCATTAGGTGACATGTTCGCAATCAACTTTGGTGATACGCTGCATAAAATATAAGTAACAATATTATGATTACGATCTATGTGATATAAACAAAAAGGATTGTACGAACAGCATAGCATCATCGTCGGTCTCCTCATCATCGACCTTATCAGCTAAGGTGGCCTTGGATAGTCTAAGCAACTGTTAGAATATACCAAGATAAGTAAATGAGATGGGAACATACACAGCTCAGGTATGCTTTACAGGTGTTGATCTAATGTTGACATGATCAGAATTGATTCAGCAAAATCTATCAGAGAACATTTACTCAGCCGTATCGCCATCTAGATCGGACAATCTGGATAGTACCCAATGCAGATCAGATGTTCACAATATTAAATAGAAGTGACGTACCTCAGAACTAACTGTCCCTTGGATACCTTAGCTATAGGTATAGGCTTGGATTTAGTAGGCGTGCTTGAACAACATACGTATCAGTTGCTCCTTATCGGAAAAAATAATATAAAAATATAGCTCACCATTGTTCGCCATCTACTTCATCTTTCTGCAGAACCCTATGATATATGTTCAACTCAGTTACAAGTGAACGAATAAGAGATAAACTCACCGCGACTTCTTTGTAGGAGATGCACTAGAAAACACGTCGTCAATATATTCAAATAAGTAGTAAAATAACATACGATGGTGCGATATTGCTAGCATCAGAGCTACTATATAGAGTGTTAGATAAACCAGTGAAGAAGTTATATTAAAACATACCGTTAAGCACGCTTTCCTGGGGTACGTGTGGTAGACGATTTAGACTTTCTGTAAAACAAATCAGGTTATACCTTTGTATGCTACCACAAATAAAATGCACACAGGTGAGGGTGTCTTAGGTGTTAGCTGCGGAGAGAATACATCTTTGCGTCTGTCAAGAAGTAGTATGTAAGCATAGTCCATCTGGAGTCTAATCAATGCATGCACACTTTCTTAGGTGTACCGAGCACGCCAGGATCTGTCACTGGAAGAGCAGCGTCACTTGAAAGATTTGTTATTATCACATTTATAAATATTATTCATTACGACTCACCTTTCAATTTCAGCGACACTGGAATCATTCAGAACAACATCACTGCCTTTCTCTTCCTTTATTCCTCCCAGATGATCATCGTCATCATCAGCATATGATCTTTAAAACACATGTTATCTGTGCAAATATGATATAAAGTGGGAGTAGCACTCACTTCTTCTTTAACACAGCTGTATGTGTAGATTTACGCATTCTGATTAGTCAAAAAAAGTCCGTTCATACATTTTATACAAGCAAACACGATAACTTGAAGACTCACTGATCAGATCTGTTTGTGTAGGAGTATAAGTGCAAATCTATAATATGTATGTTCTCCATCAAATAAAGATGGTAGACGTACTGCTCAGTTTGAGGAGGAGGGTTGATAATTTCGATACTTCATTATTAAACAAGCATAATCACTATCATCAACATTACACAGCATAATGTGAATATTTCATACGCACTCGGAATCTCCAGAGATCACCACTTTCGACTTTGGAGTCTTGCGAGAGCCACCTCTACTGCGATGTGATCTGACAGAAGCATGTCATAAGTCTATGCATCAGATAAGTATAGGAAAGTAGTATGCGCATGCATGTGTGCCTCGACGGGGAGTAGGCATGGTTGAGGAGAAATTCTAGGCGACTACACGCTTCACAAAATCAACGAGTCTACTCTTATGCTATGAGACGAATGGAATGGGATATTGCCGGAGTTCCGAGACACAGGCATCCCCTGACCTTTGGAATGATCCAACAATTCCATCAGCATGTGATGACAGTGTCCCTTACCAATCAACTCCACCATCCACATGCTTGGATAAAGGGTCCAATTACTTAAAAATCAAACAATAAGCTATGAGCAAATTGCTTATGCTATCCTTCTACTCATGTCCTGTCAAGGTTTTTATCAATAATTAAGCTCAACAATGTAACCACAAGTAATGAAGGTTGTAAGATGAGTAACCATAATCTACTCACCTTTATTATCGTGAACAGATTATAAAGCAACGAGGACAGCATGGACATGTTCCATCGGAAACGATTGAGAGAAAGGAAGTCACGTCAGGTCATAAGATAGAATGTGTCATGTCAAGTCATCAGATCCAATCTAGTTGATAATGTTATCTGACGTTAGCCATATGGCCAATGCTCGTCAGAATATATGCATACAGCTGAACGCACCATCTAGTTTAAACTTTAATGTCAACTTCTCAGAGATGGCAGTTACAATATGATGTAAGGATGTTTAGAACCTTACTAAGTTGAACCTTACTGATCTGCTCAGCTGTGCGACAGTTCCGGTTAACTATGATGGAAATCAGGATCCAAAAAAAAGAATTTCACAGTTGTGAGGCACAAATGATAGGGTGAATCTGATGTGAACTGTGTCTAGAACACACTTCTGCGGATGTCCTAATGCCTAGATGGTTATGAGGTAAATCTTCATATACTAAAGATGCAAATCGAATATCAACCTTGAACCATCTCAAACGACACTGTTGCAGGATGACTATCCAACTTATGCTGGAAAAGCGAGAACAATATTGTCAGTTAATTGCTTGTCTTCCAAAAAGTACCACTGACATGTCTTATAGGTGAGTTTTTGATTGCAATGATGACAAGTTGGTCGAAGAGAGGCAGAGAAAGCCAGCAGTTAGTGTTTATGGCAGACGTAAGTAATGAGCATCAGCAAAGCTATGAAGTAACTTAGAACTGATGTTACTTACAACCTTTAGCCCGAACGCCCTAGGATATGCACCGAAACATTCAGTCCTCGTGTGGGTGAACGTGTCGATTTTACGTGACCCTATGATTCGGTGACTGCAAATATACATGATGAGATGGTTCTTTACATCCAGGGATACGTATGGGAGAGGATGCTACCACCTGTAACCCGACGCAATCAGTGAGCCTAATTAGAATTTCATAAGTTCTTTCTCACCAACAAAAATGACTAGACTGCTGACACATATTATCTCTGCCAAACAATCTATATCACTTGCGGGGCTTGGTGCAAAGTCTTTTGATGATGGTATTAAAGCTATAATCAACCTTCATCAGCTCATGTTAGAGAGGGTGAACGGAGCGACACTTACACCCTGGACACCGCGATGCATTCAGAATGAAGTACTCCTCGACTTCTCCAACCGATACTTCTCTTCGCCCAAGGATGCTGTGGGAGAGGAGACAATAGAATTTGATGTTGAGATTGACCCATTTGGAATCTTGAAAAACCAGATTGAAGGTTACATTCATACGACTGACAACAAGGTGCTTTATTATGAAAGGAGCGCTCTAAATGAGCACGGCAAAAGGTGAGGGATGAAATGGCATCAACATATAAGGCTAATGACCTATCTAGTCATACACTCCCAATACAACCCGCTGCAATTCAGATAGGTCATATGGTTGAACTGCAGGTGTCCTTTTGTGCAGTGCCTATATCTAAAGGGAAGTATCGATTCTTGCACAAGTTGAGATCAATTTGTATACTGGATCGAAGGGTACAATCGGTGAGTGGTATGCTATTTCAAGATACAGATCACTATAACTGAAGTCAACATACCGTAGGATTTCAACCAGATTTTAGTGGAGCATATTGTCCATCCACAGTTGTTACCGACTCGTACAGTCAAATGTAAGATCGGCTATGATTCTGATTCTGATGCAGATATGGAGGAGGAGGATGACCATGGAAAGCGACGCCATGTAGAATCTTCGATAGAGGCCATAGGATCATCTACATCCAGACTAGACATATCGGACCCTGTGACTCCACAGATTTAGAGTATCACAATCTTAGTACAAATAGCATGAGATGCTACTAAATGAATATCGTTGGGGAAAATCTGCCGAGTCATGTGTTGCACGACACTCATCTCTGAAAGAGGGACAGTCGTGTGCCAAATTAACCAAGTCATCGCATGACTCTTGTCCCTAAAAGAGGGATGGTCTTGTGAAGTATAATTAGTGAAGTTGCCTCGTGATTATTGGCAGTGTATGATAATGAAAAGGACGTACCAGATCAGGGGGGGGAACATCCATGTTGTCCATTGCACTGTGGAGCGTTAAAATTGAGGAGTGAACATGGAAGCTCCAATGAACAAGAACAATTAGCCTTGGTGAGAGCTTCATGGTAAATATGTAAGGAGTACAATTAGCCTTGGTGAGAGCTTCATGGTAAATATGTAAGGAGTACGGGTGTGCTATGCATGTCCTATGATATGCTTAAATAAGCTATGATACCATACAAAACAGGTTGAATCACAAGAAGGGCCATGGATGCACAAGGAAGGTTGGGAAGATGATGGTACTAATCTGGAAAAATCACATTAGCTACATTAACAATTCACAAATAGGTGCATGGTGCTACGGAGTGCTACAGCTACTTGTCCCACAATGACGATGATGATGACAATGAACGTGGCCTCCACTCTTGAAGCGGGGGCATCCTGGGTGTCATCCTCCATGCCCTCTTGCAGGGCATGGCCTCCATTTGGAGGATGTGGGCAGCGGACACGTGAGGGAGGTCAGAGAAGAGGGAGGAGGTGGGGCCATGCGTCACGCAATGACGAGGACAAAAAGCACTCCCGCTCTTGAAGTGGGGGTGTCATCGGTGTCATTCTCCATGCCCTCTTGCAGGGCATGGCCTCTGTTCAGAGGTTGTGGGTGGCAATCGTGCGAGGGAGGTCAGAGAGGAGGGAGGAGGTGGGGCTGCGTGTTGCGCGATGATGACAAACGTGGCCCCCGCACTTGAAGCGGGGGCATCGTTTGTGTCGTCCAGCATGCCCTCTTGCAGGGCATGGCCTCCGTTTGCAAAAGACACCCCCGCACTTGAAGCAGGGGCATTATCAGTGTCCTCCTCCATGCCCTCTTGCAGGGTATGGCATGCGTTCCACCGCACAGGGCAGTGGAAGCACGAGGGAGGAGGAGAGGTGGTGGTGGGTCTGGGCCATGCATCGCACGATGACGACGATGAATGCGACCCCTGCTCTTGATGCAGGGGTGTGGTCCGAGTCATCCTGCATGCCCTCTTGAAGGGCATGGCATGCATTCCACCGCACGGGGCAGTGAAAACACAAGGGAGGCGGAGGGGCGGTGGTAAGTCGGGCCACGCGTCGCACGATGACGACGACGAACCTGGCCCCCGCTCTTGAAGTGAGGATGTGATCCGAGTCATCCTGCATACCCTCTTGAAGGGCATGGTGTGCATTCCATCGCGCAGAGTGGTGGAAACACAAGGGAGGCGGAGGGGTGGTGGTGGGTCTGGGCTGCACGTTGCACGATGATGATGATGAAAACAGCCCCCACTTTTGATGCGGGGGTGTCGTCCAAGTTGTCCTGCATGCCCTCTTGCAGGGCACACCTCGCGTTCCATTGCGCCAGGTGGTGGAAGCACGAGGGAGGTTAGTCAGTTGAGATCTGCATGAGATGGTGCGAACTACACACCAAAACTCCGTGATTCACGTGAGGGTGTCGTCCAATATCTCTGGCGTATCCTCTTGCTTGGGACATCCTCCGAATAGTGGCGCGGGGTGGAGGAGAACTGAGGGACTGCAGGAGCAGGAGGCCGGTGTAGGGACTTAGAGGATTTCGCACGGTTGACAGGCGCTTTTCCAGTCACCTTAAATTATAGCTCCGCTCCAATATTTATCCCAATTCGGTAATTTCCTCAGCCACCAGAGCGCTGAGAATGAAAAAAGTGTCGATGCGCTCAATTTTCTGGATCACATCGACACTTTTTTCGTTGTCCGCTCATCTGCAGTCTCCGCTACCTCTCGAACGTGGCACCCACACTCGCAAACTTGACACAAAGTCTTTCCCTCCTGAACCTCCATTGATATTGGCCTTCTATCGGTCCTGTAGAGTGCTTCTTTACATCTGGTGAGTGAATCTTGTCGTTATGCTTCTGATTCCATTGAATACTGACCTTAAATTCCATGACTGCAGAACGCTAGCATCAACAATGTCTTCTCTCGGTGAGTTGCCATTGTTTCACTTCATTGCTGCAGTCTTTGACCCAGCTGAGGATTACAGACCCTATTACTGGTCCACTTGTGCACCCCAGTGAACTTGTGAATGTTCCTAACTGACAGGAGATGCATCCTCACCTCTTTGTGGTGAACGACCATCCCAAGAACCCCTTTTCTGAAGTTGGGATGGTGTACGTATATGTCCAGGATATGCATGTAGAGGTGATGGAAAAGTTATTCGATTGGGCTGGGAGACAGCAGTTGCCAGGGTTGACAGCTGAGCAGGCTCGATTGGCTGGTGCGTAAATGTTTCCATTGTTCCTTTGCTCTTCTGATTCTGTTATATCAGGCTATGTTGAGATGAAGCCTGGAGATTCTGTGTTTGCTAGAGATATGTGGGGATCTGGACAACTGGTAGATGATGTAATTCAGGCGTGGTATGTGCCCAGGTTTGTAAGCCTTTAATTTTCCGATAATATGCTCACGTGATTGATTTCATTTGCAGTTACAAGATACGGAAGGAACTTATCAATGCAATTATCGACTCTCGTGATGAGCTTCTTGGCCCGAAAGAATTGTGTACAGCTGATAAGGCTGTCAAGGTCAGTGATTTTGAGTAACAACGTAAAGTAGATCGAGTAGAATAGTTGATCATATTGTCAAGCTTGGTGATAGCTATACTGGAGGTATCCAATGGGAATGTGATCCAAATGCCATTCACGTGTCAACTTCCAAGTGTTGCTATACCTTGGGCCAATCCTTCCTCGTAACCTTGCATCTCCCTCTCCTGGTGCTAAAGTATACGGTGACGTGTTGACACCACATCAGCAGATGCGTAAAAGGGCTGTACAGGTGCGTTCTTAATCATACTAAAGCATGCAGCATATTAATCGTAGTGAAGGCAGCTACTAAAGTTGCCATACAGTGTCTTGAGACTGGACCTCCAGAGGTATCAGAGGTGTTGAAACGCAATGCCGATGTAAAGAATTTGCCACCATTGGGGGCCGATGACAGCTCAGATATTTATAACTATACTTATCCGACTGTGCAGTTGAATATTTCGTCCACAAAAAATGAGGACGAGTATGCAGGTGCATTATCTTTTCTTCTTTAATGCTCATGCATATTAATAAGAATCATAGAGAGCAACTTCCAAGAAGATCTTGGAAAATTTGCGGGCAATCACATCGATAAAGGTGACTGGCCTGGTGCTTACACGGTTATGATTGGGGCTTCTGATCTTGGCCCTGATGACTATCCTGACATCTTCTGCTTATTTGACATTGGAATCTTTGTGGAAATGGGCAATATTCCTTTGCTTTGCTTTGGAGGTGTACGCCATCATGGTGGCACTCCTCCTACTTCTTCCAACCCTTCCGGTGATTCTTACCGAGTGGCATTTATCAACTATCCTCCAAAGAGTCAGATGGAGGATCATGCTCTTCTTGGACTTGCAGCCATGCCTGATCACAAGCTGCTGACTTTACGGCCCGAAATGATCGACCCGCAGTGAGTATATATATATATTTTCTGCTTTCTTTATGTTTTGCTAAGTGATGTATAGTTATGACAATACGGACATCGTCTATATGAATGAGGCCAACTGGGCAACCGACGGCTTGGCATTGAGTGATCGCAAAGCCTTTTTTCACTTTTATACAAGAGGCATTGCCCAGTACGCGCATTTTCTTCTTCGTCAGGTGCCTTCCATGCTTAAGGCGAAGATGGACGTTAACAAGTTCCTGGATGGAGGTTGATGGCGAACATGTTACGCCTGGCCCTTGGGAGCTTGGTCCTGGTTCTACTGCATACTTGGAGACTTTTGAAACTACTCGCGCTGATGCGGTGAAGTCTTGGGACCATCTAGCGAAGACTCGAGCTGCATTTATTCCTTATCTTGCTGAAAAGAAGAAGGGAGGGGCTGGTAGTGACTCTGACTCTGATGAGGAGCCCGCAGCAACTGGTGATATTGAAGCAGTCATCGTGCCTGCTAAGCCAAGTGGTCGACCTTGTACGTTTTTTTTGTTTGAACTCAAGTATTAGTGACTGATTGCTGTTCTGTAGTACCTAAGAGTCTGTATTGATATCACTCATTTCTGCATTACGTTCTAATTTGTTTGCGATTGTAGAAAATTTCAAGAAGCGTCCTCGAACAACCAAAGAAGATGCGCAAGGGTTATGCAACTGGTATGCTTTACTTTTATTGTTTCTGCTTATATCTAATACTGGTTTTCAGAGGTTGGGTTACAAGATACACTGAAAACTATCGGGCGTACTCGGACAATCGATTTATCGACCAAGACTAAGTGTCGCAGCAAGTGTTTGGCCACTAGACATGAATCCTCAGACACAGACAACGAGCAAGAATACTTGGGCCTCGTTGGTGGTGGCTGTGATAATGGTGATGATGGAATGGATGTAGATTTGTCTGGTGCACAGAAGGGTGTAAGGCGTAGCAGTCACCTTGGTGGAAAGTCAGGTGTATCGTCTCATTAGTGTTTATATATCTGAACACCTTGTATACAATACTAAATTTATATTCCACTCAGACATTGAGCAGCATATTTCTGATGGCTATGAGCCTGACAAGGATGACAATGATGAAGACAACTATGATCAAGAGCCTAGGAACACTGAACAGACACCTCAGACTCGAAAGAAGAAACAACCTTCACGCAAAGTCTTGGCATCTTTTTATGTTTATGATGAATCTGTAGAAGAGAGAGAGCAAGGTATGTTTAATGTATTTATTTATTTTTCATTCAACTTATGCCTGCAGTAGATCCAATGAATAGTGACCAAGTGACAGAAAGTGAAAATGATTCAGACATTGATGACACCGGTGCGTCTTTTGACTAGATTAATATAATGTTATTTTGCTTATTTGTTTATAGTTCATACGGCAGTGCTCTCACTCTTCAAAAAGCGGAACATCAAGGCATCTCATTCAGAATTCAGTAATATTCTCCAAGGCATTCAACAGCAGTCTCATCAAAAATATGTCACTGCTCAGCAAAAGCTCACTCGTTTCCTTAACAAGTTCAATGGTCAGCAGCATCCCAATGCTCAGTTTGCAGTTTCCATCTCTCAAATATGGGAGTCAATGGAGGTTCTCTCTATCAAAGGCAAAGTCATCTCATTGGAGAACATTCTTGCGCAGAAGCAGATCATGCTGTCTAATGGTGTTGCCTGGCATTGGCTGAACGTCATCTGTCTCCAGCGTTGTCAGGAACTCTTTGAACCTCTTCATGCAAGGAAACTTGTAACCTCATCCGATTGGTTTACCTCTCTTACTATCAAGATCTACCAGCACTTCGAGATTTCTCGCCGCTCCAGTAACACACTAAATCCCTCGACTTATCTTCCTGGTCTTCCAAAGTCGATTCAACCTTGGAAGCTGCCTGTTACCAATGCTCTTAATGGTGATGCTGGAGACTCATGTTCTCAGCACACTGCACTCAGTCCTATGCAGTTGGCTTGGTTATCCAAATGATATCTCGATGATGCAAGGTGTCTTCGTGACTCGGATCATACAGACATTTCATTCTGAGAATGTTTTACTCCTTCAAGGCGTATGGCGCATATATTCTAAAATCAAGGTGAAGGTCTTGGGTCCTTCTTTCAAAGGATTGCGTCCACACTCCCTACGCCCTAATATGCTGGATACAATCTTTGACAAGCTCTCCAGCCTGCCACTTGCTAGCCTGGAGTCCAAGGAACATTCTTTGTTGGAACACATAGGAGATTTGGTGAAGAAGGCCCTGGAGCTCATTTCATACCCTGGTGGTAAACCCACTGCCCCTACACCAGTAGCGACTTCCATTCCTTCTGGAACTGCATCCACCTCTCAGATTCCAACTCACCAGGGACTTCAAAGCCTTCTTGACTTTGTGTTGGAGCTGATTCCTCTGGTGGATTCTACAACAGCATTTCCTTCCACTAGAATCCAATTGCTTGTACTCTAACAGCTTGACAAGTGTCTTCCCTTCCGCGAGTGCACACCAAGCAAGTCATGTGTCAGTGGACTTGATGGACCACTTCACCCAGACAATATCGATAAGCCTGGTGCATTTGCAAGTGCTTGTATATTCCATGGAATCACCTTTGGTTGTCCCATTGTTCAAGAGAAGCCAACCTATTTTCCCACAGAAGCCGCGTGGGAGGAGATGCTTCTCTCTTGTCCTCATGATTCATCTGGCAATATTTGCAAAGGCTATCTCTGTGACAAGACCGCATATGGTTCCTGTATTAGTGGTCGTGATCCAAAGCACGCTCACGACTACTTTATTGTAGAGGAATACTTTCACAGATTTTTGGAGATGGAGGGTAAAGATGGCCAGATTGGCTTCACCCAATTTTACACCTGGGCGACTAGGTCTATGCGAACTGATCACAAGAAGATTCTACCGCAGATGGGCAGTTTAATCTGTCTGCTCTTGGCAGCTGATCTTTGCTATGCAGGCAAGGTCAGAATGCCAGACGTCAATGAGATGGCCAAGGTGGTTGCTCATGTGGAGAAGGGTGCTATTTTCGGTCTATCTCTTTGTTCATTGACATCTGCAGGATCTAGCGTGGAAGAAGTTGAAGAGGCATTTAAGATGGCATACTCATTTTTGGATGCTCATCTTACTGTTGAACAGAAGAGACTTATTGGATTTGATCCAATTATGACAGAACATTTGCTCTGTAAGTTCCAGCGAGTAGATAGGGTAGCAAGTAGAAAATGTTGACCGTTGTAGATACTTTGTAGTGGTCAAGTCAATATATACAGAATGTAATAATCACAGATAATATTCTGGGGTCTCCACTGGCAGCTGCACTTTAGAACAGCTTTTTTACCCATCATTGTACATTGGAATAGCAGCAGATCAAGCCTGAGTTTGTCCATTTAGGTGAGTTCTTCATCCTCCTAGCCTTTCTTCTCTTCCTGACTTCAAACTCTCTTTACAGCATTTATCTGACATGGATTGTAGATTTGACCTTCTTTCCATGTTTTGGGGATAACGAAGATGAATACAGCCCTCTGGATTGTCCGGTGTGTCCCTGTATTCATTGTTCTCACTTATTCTCTCTGAGCCAGACAATTAAATCAAAATTATATTCTAGGCTTCCAACCAAGGGCTGTACTTTAGAACGGCTTTCTTGCCCATCATTATACATTGGAATAGCAGCAGATCAAGCCCCAGGTTGTTCATTTAGGTGAGTTCTTCATCCTCCTAGCTTTCCTTCTCCTCCTGACCCCAAACTCTCTTTACTGCATTTATCTGAGCCTGGATTGTAGATTTGACCTTCTTCCCATGTTTTAGGGATAATGTAGATAAATATAGACCTCTGGATTGTCCGGTGTGTCCCTGTATTCACTGGTCTCACTTATTTTCTGTGAGCCAGCCAATTAAATCAAAATTATACTCTAGGCTTCCAACCAAGGGCTGTACTTTAGAACGGCTTCCTTGCCCATCATTATACATTGGAATAGCAGCAGATCAAGCCCCAGGTTGTCCATTTAGGTGAGTTCTTCATCCTCCTAGCTCTCCTCCTCTTCCTGACCCCAAACTCTCTTTACTGCATTTATCTGAGCATGGATTGTAGGTTTGACCATCTTCTCATGTTTATGATATAATATAGGTCAATGTAGACCTATGGATTGTCCAGTGTGTCTCTGTATTCATTGTTCTTACTTCTTTTCTCAGACTGACCCAGTTTAATTTATTTTATATTACAGTATGTTAACTGATGACAGTCGTACCACTGCATAATGTGACCCAAGTGTCAAATCACATCAACAATGAGATGAATGGTAGAGAGATTTCCGTGAGTACTAATATGATGGTCTGCACACCGGAACATCTTACTATACATTTTTGATCAACACAGTGAAGGGTGTGACCTGTGACCTCAAGGATCCAAACCGGCCAACTGGCAGGGCCAGGTGTAACCAAGGACAGGATGTAACATAGTGGCAAGGTGGTGAGGTAGTGGCATCGGAGGTGCTGGCATACAGCAAGTGCAACAATCATGTAGCTGTGGGATGTAGCTGTTCTGTAGCCGGTGGCTGCTGCTTATAACACATGTTCAAAATCCGGCAGGCCACTGGCCTTGTCACATATGACCTGTGAGGTTGGTCGAAAATGTATAGTATATGCATCTGTGAAACTAAAGCAAGTTTTCCGATCAGGAATTGTAGGATTTGTTTAAGAGAACCTCTGCACCATGTTATTTAGTACAAAAATTGTGAGTAATACAACTAAAACTGCCCAAAAAAATACATGTTTAAGGTCAACTGCAACAGGGAAAGCACTGAGACACCTGAGCACTATCGTTTATCTAATCTAGGTGCTTCAGCCACTCATCTGTTGACAGTGCTTTGTACAAGTCGCGTTGGTTTTCAATACAACTTTTTTTGAATGTCCGCCTATAGTTACATTGTAGTTGAGTAAGTAGCTGATAGAACATCTGTAGATGGAGCTTAACCCTAACCCTTGTGGCATTCCTACAAACTCAGCCCTAACCCTAGATGACGCATACAAAATTTGTAGTCAAAAACCATTCCCACGATTTGGGAAAAATGTCGTGACAGTATAAGCGCCCTCTAGGGCTCATCCTGTATAAGAACGATTCATTCGTACCTCAGGAATCGTAATTTTTTGAAGCTCTGAAACTCTGTTTTTATTTCAACTACATTTATGTAAAAATTCATTTTATACAGATACTAAAAAGAAATAAAGCATTAAAATCACTTATAATATTATTTAGATACTTCAGTTATCATTAACAACTGCATTACAATGTTTTAGTATGCTATTTGTCTAATATTTCACTTAGAAATATTTAGTAACAGTTCTGCAATAGTTTAGCATGTCATCTATATGTCTATATAAAAAAGTTACAAGAAAATGCTAGTGCTTTTTAAATAAGAGGATTTTAATGGTCTATAATGTTATTCAATAACTGGTATATTGCTTAGTAATATCTAGTAAGCTTCTAACAATATTACACTTTTGACTTACTTATAAAATGTCATCTGATTGTAGTTTATAAAAATCTTATAATAGTGTATTAGAGTATGAGACAACTTTTTTTCATACAATTTAATATCAGTTGATAATTTAGTACAATATAGATAATAATTTATTTGTCGCTGTCTGATAATAGTCTAACATCTTACTAAGTATCTCAAAGTATGACTATCTAAAACATGGCTTTAAGATGATATTACTCTGTTCTGTTATCAAAACTATATAAGAATATTACTAAAAATTGTTAGTACACCTCTCCTAAAAATAACTTTCAAAATTGCTTTAAAATAATACTACTATGTTGTTTTGCAAAAAGTGTACAAAAACATAACTAAAAAGTTACTAGTATGAATTCTAAAAGACTGAGCTGAAAAATGGCTTCAAAATGATATTACTATGTCATTTTGCAAAAAGTATATAAAAACATCACTAAAAAGTGACTAGTATGCATTTTAAAAGACTGAGCTGAAAAATAGTTTCAAAATGATATTACTATGTCATTTTGCAAAAAGTATACAAAAAAATTACTGAAAAGTGGCTAGTATGCATTTTAAAAGATTCAGCTGAAATATAGCTTTAAAATGATATTACTATGTTATTTTCTGAAAAGTATATAAAAACATTACTAAAAAGTGGCTAGGATGCATTTTAAAAGATTCAGCTGAAAAATGGCTTCAAAATGATATTACTATGTCATTGTATATAATCTATATAAAAACATGACTAAAAAGTTATTAATATTCATTTTGCAAGGATTAAAGAGCCTTACAGTGGTTTACAAATTCATCTACTGATTCTTAATACATAAGAATCACTACAAAAAATGACCCTAGAAACTGTTACAAATGCGCCTACAAGAATTACTACAAGAAATGTGAACAACATGCATATACAAACCACTACAAAGAATGACACTAGAAACTGTTACAAATGTGCCTGTAACAATGTATACAAAAAATTGTTATTGTATTCTCTACTAACTCCTAGTGTGCCATTTAATAATGTGTACTAAGTGTCCTACAATGTCCCCACTATATATTGATAAGTTGTGTGGGTTGATAAGGGCCATACTATTAAATAGTGTACAAAGTCGCCTACTGACTCTTGGTATATTGTCTAGTAATGTTCAGCAAGTCAACGACACCCTATAATACTGGCTCCTGATAGATCCTACAGTATCAGTTTGTAATGAGCTTATAATAGTCGGAAATGTTACCTGGCATCACTTTGTAAGAATCTTCAGTAACCTTCAATAGTCTCTAGTAATCTCTTGTAAGTGTCCTAGTGAACATGTTTATAATGATCCTACAATAGTGAGATATGTCATCTAGTGTCACTTTGTAAGATGCTTACAATAGCCTACAAAGTGTTGTATTGACTCCTAGTATGTCTAGTAGTGTTTAGTAACCCTGCTTCAATGCTTTATTATACCATCTTTTGAATTCTATTACACCCTTTAGTATTAGTTTGTAAGGCC